GGACACTGGGTGGCTTTGTGTGTGAGACTTGCCCACTGGGTGTCTTCTCTGACCACTCCCTATCTTACTGCCTTGAGACAGGGCCTCTCACTGAACCAGAAACTGATATACTACATCTCAACTGACCAGCCAGGCTGTGGGAGCTGCCTGTCTCTGCCCCGCAATGCAGGAGGTACAGCCATGTATGGCTATGCCTGACTTTTTGTGGGCTCATGCAATTTGAAGTTAAGTCCTCAAGGTATCAGAATTAAGTGCCTATTCACTGAACTATATTCCCAGCACACACCACTTGTGCACACACAAGTATTGGTGCAAGAGCACTTTGTGCTTAAAAAAGTATTGTGAACTGTAAAATTAAACACAGGTCCCTGCATAAAAAATGCTTACCAGCTGCCAACTTTTCTCAGCAACAAAAGCACAGAAAGAAAGGCTACCCCAGTCTTACCTGGTAAGTGATGTCAGGCCTTGCGGGCTCAGCATTACCTCCTCCACTGGAGCCCCCCGTGATGGCATGACCCAGCGTGTGCCCCACTGCAGAGCCCACAGCCACACCAGCAGCAGTGGTTGCCATCTGGGCCATCAGGCCTGGCTGCCGGGGTGCAGCGGCAGGTGAGCCAACTGCAGATGGTGCAGCTGCTGCTGGAGGCTGAGCTGCAGGTGCTCTTCTAGGAGCAGCCCTCATCTGAGGGGCCCGGCTGGAAGACAAGACACCTCATTAGTTCCTACTTCCAAATGGCTTTAGAATTCCCCAGAGAAACCAAACAGGCCAGGTTCAGTGGCACATGCCTGTAATCCCAACACTGAGAAGGTAGAGACAGGGAGAACCAGCAGGTCAAGGTCATCCTTAGCTTCATAGGGATTTTCCCCCCTCTTCTACATGCTTTATGACTATATTGAGAGTATAGTAACTCCAACATTTCTCTCTTCCCCATCTCTCTCCAAGGACCCTCACATATCCCTCTTTGTTCTATTTCAAAGTCATGGCCTCTTTTTCCATTGTTATAAGATACATATATGTGTACATATATATACACTTCTAAATATAACCTGCCCCAGTCGTATGTTACTTGTATGTATGTTTTCATATACAACTTGGTGTGCTCTCAAGGGGGAAGACTATCTCTCTTGCTCTCAGCATTCCTTAGTTGCTTATATTCTTTATGTAGGTCTTGTGGGCTTTTCACTGTATGGTCTGGCGCATATACTGCCACCCTTATTCTACCATTGTCTCAAAAAATATGTTCAAGACTGGGCATGGTGGGGCACACCTTTAATTCCAGCACCCATGAAGCAGAGTCAGGTGGAAATTCAGCTTCAGGTCAAAATGACACCACTGGCTTTCCAAGGCTCAAGTACCCATTCATTTGCATATATCCACTCACAGAAAATAAAAGCTTGAAAGATCCCAGAGGGTTTATTTATTTAAATGTTAAACAGATACTACTTGGACAAGGTTATTTCAAGCTGAGTAGTTGTGCCATGGCCCCCATTTAATCCCAGGCAGCTGGATCTCTCTGTGAGTTCCATATAGAATGGACCAACAGCTTTCATTCTTATCACTCTATCAGTATCAAAAATAACGAACAGGTGTTGCATTGGAATATTAAATTTTTTAGATCAAGGAGTCGTTCTAACCTAGCTTTTGAGTTAAGATTTAGAGCGGGAGGAGGGGACGGGGGCTGATGAAATGACTCACCATACAATGGTACTTGACAACCTGAGGTTGACTCCTGGAACCCATAAATTGAAAAGATAAACCCAACTCCCACAAGATGACCTTTGACATTTATGTACACACAGAGATATAAATATACCCATAGTTCCAGCTATTCAGTGAGTGAACAAGACTATGGATTTAGGACCAGTGTGAGCAATGGAGAAAGACCGTCAAAAGTCGTCAAAATCTAATCAGTCATGAGGTAATGTTAGGAATGCAGACCAATGCTTTCATTTCACCCATTAGAAAATGTTAAGTCCCTGGGTTTGGTTTGTTAATACACACCTGTAATCCCAGCCCTCAGGAGGCAGAGGCAAGTTTTGTCTTTTGAGTTGCTGGCCAGCCAGGGCAATGGTGAAACCCTGTCTCAAAAAACCAAAACAGACCACCACCCCAAACCAAAAGGAAGAAGTTAAGGAAAGTGAGCTGTTTGAACTACAAATTTTATTAATCTTGTTTGTCTTTTGGTTTGTGGAAACTGGTCCTGAACTGGTAGCCACCCTCTGCCCTTGAGGAGATGGGAGGCACCACTGAACGTACAGTCCCCGGGTTTACTCCCAGTACAGCCACAACTTTTAACATTGTATGATTTTATTCACCCAACGTGGGAGATCTGGCATCTTGATGCTGTCAACAATTTCCTACTTGTTCTCACGTGCGCCGGCAAGACGTTCCAATAAAGCATTTTTCTATTTTTTTTTTCCAAGACAGAGTTTCACTGTGTGTAGTCCTGGCTGTCCTAGATCTCGCTTTGTAGACCAGGCTAGCCTCGAACTCAGAGATCCGCCTGCCTCTGCCACTCCAGCGCTGGGATTAAAGGAATGCGTCCCTACGGCCGGCTTCAATAGAGTAAATACTCTATTGAACCCAAGTGGTGGGAAGGCGAGAGCTCTTAAATTCTAGGCCCTGCACTCGGCGGGCGTCACACGATTTTTAATAAACCTTTAAAATCCTGTAATCCTAGCCGTAGAAAAGCGGAGTCGGGAAAATCAAGGAAGGGCAGCCGGACCTATATAAAGTTCAAGGTTAGCCTAGGAGCTCAGAAAAAAAAACAGTAAGGAAAAAAAAAACACCCCGCCCTTCTCCCCCGAGCTTCACATATATCATTCTTTCCCCGCCTCTTTGTAGACTACGTAAGGCCCTTCTCCAAGCAAACTAGGGAAAAGGTCACGTTTGCGAGTCCTCTCCCGGAGGCCACAAAGCGTGTCTCCGTTTTCGAGTCCTCCTCCTCCCCAGCAGCGGATCCGTCGGCTAGCACCAGCTCACCACCGGCCGCCATCGCAGCCTTCTGAGTACGGAACCTCGCCCTCGCCGCCTCCGCTCCGTCCCCAACCCGGAGGAGGGTCTCACCTGGCCGGAGGGGCCACCCGGGAAGTGCGGCTTCGGCTTCCGCGAGGCATCCTCCAAGCTAGTAGCTTCAGTCTTCAGAGACGACAAACTGCGAAATTCCCACAAGCGTCCAGCAATTTCTACCAAGGAGAGAGGAAAAGTGGAGGCGGTGCGTAGGCCAGCATCCAATCAGAGCCCAGGAGAGGACGGACGCTGAAGGTGATTGGAAGAGCGAGACGTCGGTTACGGAAAACGCCGCGGCGCTGCGTCCTACGCCCGGAAGTCAAGAGCTTAGCGGTGGGGCTGTAGCCAGCCGGAAGTTCCTGGGGTTGTACCCTCAAATCTTGTCCTCCTCCTCTTACGGTTAGGTTTTTGATTCCGATGGACGACTGGCTTTCTCTACAACTCAGGCTGTCTTTGATTTAGAGTTCCTCCTGCTTCAGTTCTCAAGTAAACTGGATTGGGGGATTACAGGCCTTGCCCCTGAACTGTTTACTTAACTCTTCTCTGATTCGTTTTGTGACAAGGTCTCAAGTAATGGATGTTGGCCAGGAACTCGGCCTCCTAATGGTGGTGAAGCTGGAGAAACTCCTAGTGAAATTTATGTTGTAAAGGATTTACTAATTGTTTGGTTTCTACCTGCAGCAGGGTATGACTGGTATACCCTGCCCTCTACCCCGAATTCCCTAGCCCAGGGGCGGGGCTTCCCCTCTCCCAGAGGTCCTTCATTATATAATCCAGGCATTTTGGTTCTCTCTTCCCTCTCTTTCCTTTCTCTCTCTCTCCTCTCTCCCTTCCTTCCTCCCTCCCTCCCACTCTCCCTCTCTGCACGGGCATTTCTCTCTCTCCCTCCACCCTCTCCCTCCCTTCGCCCTTCCAATAAACTTGCAACTTCGTTTTGCCATTAGCCCATTCCATTATTTCAATTACTAATAAGCTTACTTGGAAATATTAAGTTACACAAAGTAGACTTTAGATAAAGGACGGCTGCCTCCAGTCTGACTGGAAGATAGTGTACTAACCAGACTTGTTAGAAACCATTAGAATGCCGGGTAAGGTGGCAATTGCCTTTCATCCCAGCACTGGAGAGCCAAAGGCAAGGGAATCTGGGAGTTTGGGGCCAGCCTACTCTATCGAGGAGTCCAGGGCAGTCAGGGCTCTGTTACACAGCGAAACCTGTCTCGAAAGAAGGAAACTGTGAGAAAGAGAATTCTGCACTTAAGTTTTGGATTGCTGAAGAAGTTTCTGCTACTGTTTATTCACCAAGGTTAACCTTCAGTTAGGTGTCATTCCCATAATAAAAGAACACCCTGACTTTAAACTAGCCATTAAGCTCATCCCCATGCCTAAAGAAATGGTTCTCAATCTGTGGGTCTCAAGCTCAATGATTTAGCTCCTCTCCTGGGAAATTTGTCCAAATGCAGATACGCCTACATTTGAGTATCCAGAACTTTATTTGAGAATCACCAACTCTAGATCCTCAGCTGTGGCCACAGGATTGTGGTCCCCCTGACCTACCACTCTTATCTGATGGTGACCAGAGCCCATTGATTGGCAGAGCCAGCTGCTGCGTCAATCCATGATGCTCCCCGGAGGACACGCATGTCCTGGCCAGCAGCTTGGTATGTGGACGCCGTCCATTCCCACACATTGCCCATGAGATCATACAGTCCTACAGCAAAGCATTAGCCCATCAGATGGGGAAATAGGGGACTCTCTCCCACCAAATACCCTGTGAGGACGGGGAAGTTTTCTCTTGTCACCTTGTCAGACCTTGTACACGAGATCTTACCATAGTTGTTCTGTGGGGGGAAAGCATTCACTGGTGACAGTCCATGAAAACCATCTTCAGCTGTGTCACCTTTGGGGAACTTTCCCTGACAGGAACAAGGGAAGTGAAAGATTTATCAGCCTGTCCCAAGGCAGGTGCTCCTGTCTCAGGGGAAAACCAGGCTCACTGCACCCTGCTGCTTCATGGGGGAAGGACAGTGACCTCAGGTTCCTTACATGGTGCTTTGGAAAGAGCACTGTCTCCACCCATCTAGGTCCTTTGTCCCCTGCCAGGGACAGAGGCTCTAGAGCCATGCTCTCCCATATGTCCTGCTTTTACTTACATACACCACCTACATCTGTTAATGTGATTTTTTTCAACTTTACTTTTCTTCTCATCAAAAGTGGGGTTCTGGGACTGGGGAGATGGCTCAATGGGTAAGAAAAGGGTTACAGAGGTTAAGAGGTGAGGAGGGATGTGAGACCGAAAAAAAAAAAAAAAAAAAAAAAAGGATGAACTTACATTGCAAATCAAGGGGCCCATTGTATTAAGTTCCCATACCAGGAAAATTAAGGAACCCATTATGACCCATACTTTACAAAAATAGGTTTCTATTTAAGAATATATTCCCATTTCTTACACCTGATGTAGTGTGCAAAAACGAAAACAAAATAAACGTGGTTTCTATCCTTACCTTCCTCTTTCATTGTATTTTCTAACACTTTCTGACAGCCAATTCTCTCGCGCCTGTGAACACGCTTACAGCTGTTTTATATTAATCTTTTATATAAAAGGGACCTCAAAAGAACAATAAGGGGCTGTTTTCTAAAATCCCAACTTAGGGTAAAAGAGCCAGATGTCCAGTCCCCGGGGCACCTCTAATATAAAGCTTGCTTTGATTAGAGTACTGTGGATTTAGTCTTTCTCCTGGCAATTTTCAGGTTTAACACTTAACATAGTACATGCGCGTAATCCCCCAATCCAGTTTCCTTGAGAAGCTGAGGCAGGAGGATCTCAAAATCAAAAGGCACCCTCGGTTGTGGAGGAAGCCAGTCGTCTATTGGAAGCAAAAGCCTAACCATCTATCACAGAATCAAAGGACAAGATTTGAGAGAGGAACCTCAGTATCCTCGGATTAGCTACTGTGCCCCGTCGCCAAGCAACTTTCCGGCGTGGCGCACAAATGTCCTGCTCTTCCAATGACCTTCAGGGATCGTGCTGACACTGAGCGCTGATTGGCCCCTCGCGGAGGCCCCGCCTCCCATCTTCCTTTCTCTTTGCTGGACGCTCATGGGCGTTTCCGAGTTTGTTGTGTCTGGATGTTGTGTGTAGGAGCATCTAGGATGCCACGTGGAAAGCGAGGCCGCACTTGCCAGGTGGCCCCTCCGGCCAGGTGAGACCCTTTTCCGGGCTGGGAACCGAGCGGAAATGGCCAGGGGGACGTTCCGTAGCCAGAGGGCTGCAAAGTCGGGCGGTAGCGAGATGGTGTGAGCAGTCGGGAAGGGATCTGCTGCTGGGGAGGAGGTCTCCCCGAGAATGGAGACACGCTTTGTGCACTCCAGGAGAGGAGGCTAAAACACGACCTGTCCCCTAGACTGCTTACGTAGTCTGCAGAGGCGGGGAAGAATGGTATCAGTGAAGCTCTTGGGGTGCTTTTGTCTTACTGTGGTTTTGAAGCTCTCAGGGTAGCCCTGAACTTCAGATTGGTCTGTCTGCCCTCCTTTGATTTTTCCCGACTCCGCTTCCCTACGGTTTGGGATTATAGGCTTTAAAGGCTAGGGAAAAAATTCAGTTATTTGTGTATGGAAGGCCGAGAATGTAGAGTTCTCTCCTTCCACCACTTGGGTCCAGTATATCTCAGTAGTTATTAGTAGTTAGCTCTATTTCTGTGGGTCTCAACCTTTCTAATGCTGTGACACTTAATACAGTTCTCATGTAGTGAGCCCCCGACCATAAAATAATTGTTGTTACTTCGTAACTGTGATTTGGTACTGCTATGAATGTGTGTAATATAGATACATGATATGAGGGATGGTTTTAGGCAAGCCCTGAGAAAGGGTCCTTTGATAGGCAAGGGGGGCGCGACCTACAACTTAAGAATCGCTGCTCCTTGAGCTATCGTTTCCTTCCACCTGAAGATAAATAAGAAACTGTTGACAGCATCAAGTTTCCAGATGTCTCACTTTAGGTAAATAAAATCATACAAAGTGAAAAATGGTGGCTGTATTGGGAGTGTACCTGGGAATCGTGCATGTGGTAGGGGGCGGACCCTGTCTACCACAAGATAGTCCCCCATGCCTCTAGAGACCCTGCTCCAAAATCCAAAAGACAAACAAGATTAATAAAATTTGCAATTCAAACAGGTCAGTTTCCCTGACTTTTTCCTTTTGGTTTGGGGGTGGTGGTCCTTTGTGTTTCTTTGAGACAGGGTTTCACCGTGGCCCTAGATGGCCCGAAACTCAAAAGACAGCACCTGCCTCTGCCTCCTAGTGCTGGGATTAAAGTTGTGAGCCAGCATACCATATACAGATGTCGTAACCTTTTCTTTTAATTCTTTTTGTTTGTTTGTGTTTTTCGAGACAGGGTTTCTCTGTAACCTTGGCTGTCCTGGACTCGCTTTGTAGACCAGGCTGGCCTCAAACTCATAGAGATCCTCCTGCTTCTGGCCTCTGAGTGCAAGGATTAAAGTCCTGTACCACCACAACCGGCTGGACTTTTCTAATGGGTAAAATGAAGGCATTGGTCTGCATCCTAAACATTACCTCATGACAGTCTTGGATTTTGTCGACTTTTGACTCTGTTGTCCATGCAAAATCCATGTGCTAAATGGTTCTTGTCCCCTTGCTGAATAACTTGGACTACAGGAATACTATGGCAAGCCAATGCCTCTGTATATTTTCCTCTTTTTAGTTTAGTCAATCAGGGCCTCATGCCTGCTAGGAAAATGTTTTGTTAACCTAAGCTCTAAATCTTTTTATGTCTGTTTATTTGTGTGTGTGTGTGTGTGTGTGTGTGTGTGTCTGTGCATGCACCTTGGTGCCTATGTGAAAGTCACAGGGCAGCTTACGGGAGTTTGTTGCTTCTTTCCACATTGGAGATTCCAGGGATCTCTTGGGTTTGTCAGGAGTGGCAAAAGTACAAGGACCTTTCTCTAGTAAGCCATTTCATCAGCATCCCTGACCCAAGCTCTAAATGTTAATTTAAGTGTTAACTAGGTTAGGGAAGATTCCTTGATTGTCCTAAAATTTCAATACTCTGTGACAACACTTGGGTTGTGACCCCTTTGACAAACCTCTATTTCCAGAAGATGTTTACATTATGATTCATAACAGCAGCAAAATAACTGTTATGAAGTAGAAAGAAAAATAATTTTATGGTTGGTCATTACCACATGAGGAACTGTATTAAAGGGTTGCAGTATTAGCAGGGTTGAGAACCATTGGAGCCCCTGGCAGTACCTGTCTGATATTTTATTTGATGACATTTTATTTGATGCTGATAGAGTAATAAAGTGAAAGCACCTTGCTCACTCTGTAGCTCTTGCTGTCCTGGAACTCAATATGTAGACCAGGATGGCCTTGAATTTATAGAGATCCACCTGCCTCTACCTCCAGAGTGTACCCCCTCCTTCACCCTGACAGTGACACTGTTGTACAAGCTGCTTAGTATTTGAATAAATAATCCCTCAGGGAATCTTTATAGCTTTCATTGTCAGTGAGTAGGTACTTGCAAATGAAGTGGGCATGGTGGCCTGGAAAAGCCTGCAGTGTCAGATGGCCTGGTGGCCTGGAGCTGAATTTCACCGTGGTGCTTAAGAGCTGCTGGGAACTGAACTTGGGTGCTGTAGAAGAGCAGTATGTAGTCCTCAATCCTGAGCCATCTCTCCACCTTTCCATCTAACTCTTAATAGTCTCTGATCTTATGAAGTATGGGAATAAATTATTTAAAGATACTGTAGGCCATGTTGATACATGAGAGTGTTACAGAAAAGGACACAGTAGTTTATGCTTGGTTGTTAGAACTTTAACAAAAGATTACAGAAGGACAGCAATATATATAAGCAGTTAATAGTAGCAGTTGTTATAGCCTTGCATGTATATGGTATGGAAGTTTAAAGATTTAAAATGATGCCAGGTGGTGGTGGCATAGGCCTCTAAGGACACAGGTTCCTGGGGCACTTGGGAGGCAGAGGCAGGTGGATCTCTGACTTCCAAGGCAGGCTGGTTGGAAAATTGGCTTTCTAGGTAAGAGTACAGACTGCTCTTCCAGAGGACTCAGGTTTGATTCTCAGCACCCACATGGCAGCTCAGCACCATCTGTCACTCCAATTTGAGGGGATCTAAAGCCCTCTTTTGTAATGCAAGTGATACACAGACATGCATGCAGGCAAATCATCTTACACGTAAGACACAATAAAATAAAAAGGTTTAAAATGAAGCCAGGTAGGGTAGCAAATGACTTGTAATTCCAGCCACCACTGGATGAGGCTGATGTGGGAGGACTTAAAGGTTCAAAGTTAGCTATTGTTTTGGTTAGAGGGTTTGTTTGTTTCTTTTTTGTCTTTTTTTTTTTTTTTTTCCCCCTGAGACAAGGGTATTGATTCTCAGGCTGGCCTTCAAATCACTATGTAGAACAAGGATGCTGTTCTACATATGTATGCTGAAGTGTACAGCGAAAAACCTGTCAGCCCTCAGACCTGCATAAAGAGTACAAGGAATGCTTAGAGCAGGGGAAATAGTCTTCCGCAGCTAGAGCACACCAATTGGTTATCCAGTACAAAGTGGTCATCCCAAAAAACATACACGTACAAGTATCATGCACACTTAAGAATGTGTATGCCTATACATGTATGCATTTAATGACGATGAAAAAAGAGGCCATGACTTTGAAATAGAACAAAGAGGGATATGTGAGGGTCCTTGGAGAAAGATGGGGAAGAGAGAAATGTTGGAGTTACTATACTCTCAATATAGTCATAAAGCATGTAGAAGAGGGGGAAAAATCCCTATGAAGCTAAGGATGACCTTGACCTGCTGGTTCTCCCTGTCTCTACCTTCTCAGTGTTGGGATTACAGGCGTGTGCCACTGAACCTGGCCTGTTTGGTTTCTCTGGGGAATTCTAAAGCTATTTGGAAGTAGGAACTAATGAGGTGTCTTGTCTTCTTTGATCCCAGAAGAGCACCTGCAGCTCAGCCTCCAGCAGCAGCTGCACCATCTGCAGTTGGCTCACCTGCCGCTGCACCCCGGCAGCCAGGCCTGATGGCCCAGATGGCAACCACTGCTGCTGGTGTGGCTGTGGGCTCTGCAGTGGGGCACACGCTGGGTCACGCCATCACGGGGGGCTCCAGTGGAGGAGGTAATGCTGAGCCCGCAAGGCCTGACATCACTTACCAGGTAAGACTGGGGTAGCCTTTCTTTCTGTGCTTTTGTTGCTGAGAAAAGTTGGCAGCTGGTAAGCATCTTGTTTTGTTTTGTTTACTGAGACAGGATTTCGGCTACAAGGCTGTGTAGCCATGGCTGCCCTAGAACTCACTTTGTAGACCAGGCTGACTTCAAATTCAGAGTTCTGCCTGCCTCTGTCTTCCAAGCACTGGGATTGAGATTAAAGGCATGTACCACTACACCCAGCAAGCAAGCATCTTTTATGTAGTAACCTGTGTTTAATTTTAGGACCCACAATACTTTTAAGTACAAAGTGGGTCCCTCCCCAATATTTTTTTAAATATTAATTTATTATTTATACAACATTCTGCCTGTACACAAGATCTTACTATAGATGGTTATGATCCACCATGTGTTTATTGGGAATTGAACTCAGGACCTTTGGAAGAACAGCAAGTGTAACCTCTGAGCCATCTTTCAAGCCCCCTCCCCAATATTTTTAAGTGGTGTGTGCTGCACGTATAGCTCAGTGAATAAGTACTTACTCTGATACCATGAGGTATCAAATCTAGTGAACCCACAAAAAGTCAGGCATAGCCATACATACCTCTTGCATTGCGGGGCAGAGACAAGCAGCTCCCACAGCCTGGCTGGTCAGTTGAGATGAAGTAAATCAGTTTCTGGTTCAGTGAGAGGCCCTGTCTCAAGGCAGTAAGATAGGGAGTGGTCAGGGAAGACACCCAGTGGGCAAGTCTCACACACAAAGCCACCCAGTGTCCTTTGAGTTAGAGCCTTAGGCCCACTGGGATACATCAGTCCAGCCTCCCTTCCTGTGAAAACGGCCATTTTCCCTTTAGATGGTTGTTTTTGATAGGCTTTCACTCAAGCTGGCCTTGAAATCATGACAGTCCTGCCTTGGCTTTAAGTATTTACCTCAGTTGGCAACATTTTTTCTGGGTTGCTGTTATTTCTTTTGGAGACAAAGTTTTCACTGTATGACCCAGCTGGCTTCAAACTTGTAACAGTCCTCTTGGTTGGCCTTAAGCTTTGGTGTAGAGGCAGAGCCATGAGGCCTGGCCTTTCCATCACAAGTCCCTTTGACAGCTTTATGACCCCTTGCCTGATCTTTCACCATCTCTTTCCCTGGGATGTGTGTATTTTCCCTTGTAAGGAACATGTACTCTTGAATTTCTAGTGCATCTGAAATCCTCTTTCCCATAATCCTGTTTCCCTTGGGCATGGCTCACTATTTTGTATATATGTTTGTGGAGCTGATCAAACCCAGGGCAGAGCATACATCCTACTGTGGAGTCCATAGCCAGTTTTTTAAGTTTTGGTTTTATGTTTATAGAGAGATCCAGCCCAGAGCCTTGAGTGTATTGAACAAACACTTCATAGGACTGTGCTCCTGTTTATGCTCCAGATGACCTGATTTGCCATTTGTTTGGGGTTTTTGTTGTTGTTGTTATTGTTTTGGTTTTGAGTTGGAGAGCATATCTTTGTTCTTGAACCTTAAAGTTTGTTTTTATTTTCTGCCTTTGAATGATTTTCACTTCCATGTTCCTGGATGGAAAACTAACTCTGCCCCTTTTCCTAGTTGTTTCCCAGCTCCCAGTGTGTGAATGTTGCCCTCGTGTGGGTGCCCCTACACTTTCTCAGCAGTACCTAATGTTGTGTCTTGGCAGGAGCCTCAGGGAACCCAGCTGCTGGACCAGCAGTCACGTGGGCCTTGCTCTCTTGAGATCAAGCAGTTTCTGGAGTGTGCCCAGAACCAGAGTGACGTCAAGCTCCGAGAGGGCTTCAGCGAAGTGCTGCGGCAGTGCAGAATTGCAAATGGTGGGTGGCTTGTGCATCGCTCAGAGTGATCGTCCTGAATGATATTTGTCAGCGGTTCTCAACCTATAGGTTGAGACCTTTTGGGGTTGAAGCACCCTTTAAAGCATTGGGGTCATCTAAGACCGTCAGGAAAATACATATTTTCAATGGTCTCAGGAACTGAGCCACTCCTCTTCCATCCATCTCCAGGCCGAACCATCCACATGTGGTAAGTGCCGTGATGATGTCAGCTCACCAACCCCATCACGTACAGCCTGCACAGACACAGGTGTATGTGACAGGGCTGGCGCCACAGTGTACTTATGTGGCCCAGTCACATGTAGAGAGAGAGCAGCTACTGTGTTGAAAGCAGCAGTATTGGAGGTAATATGGCAGTTCATGAATTATAATTACTGGGTAAATGTAAAATCACCAACTACTGCAGAAAAAAAAACTGCATCATAGGAACTTAGGATCATAGGATGCTGATTGTTTAGGGGTTTTGTTTGTTTTGGGTTTTGGTTTTTATTTTTTGAAACAGGATTTCTCTGTGAAGTCCTGGCTCTCCTAGAATTCACAGCGACCAGCCTGCCTGTGCTTCTCAGGAGTGTTGGGAGTAAAGGGGCCACCACCACCCAGCAAAGATTGTTGTTGTTGTTTACATTCAGCTGCGGTGGTAACAGGCATGTAAAAACAAAAATAACAACAACAACAAAACCCAATCAAAAACACACAGAAAGTGATAAATCCTCGGAAACTTTAGTGAACTGTGTTGACTGACCCATGATGCTGTGTATCCTCTTTTGTATTAGTAAAGCTATTGTTATATATTGTTTTCATTAGAGGACCATCCCAGGAGAGTGGGTCGTGTAGAGAAGAATGTTAAGAAAAGAAGATATAACGAGGATTTCTTACAGTATGGCTTCACGTCAATAATCACAGCAGGAATTGAGAAACCGCAATGTGTTATTTGTGGTGGTGTTCTGTCAGCAGAGTCTATGAAACCAAACAAACTGAGACGCCATTTTGATAGCAAGCATCCAAGCTTTGCTGGCAAGGATACCAACTATTTTAGAAGCAAAGCTGATGGACTCAAGAAAGCCAGACCTGACACGGGTGGCAAGTACCACAGACAGAACGCAGTAGCTGTGGAAGCTTCATATTTGGTGGCACTCAGAATCGCCAGAACTATGAAACCTCACACCTTCGCTGAGCATTTACTGTTCCCAGTGGCCAAAGACAGTGTTCAAGTTATGGTCGGAGACGAATCTGTTACGCAGCTGAGTGCAGTTTCCTTATCTAATGACACTGTCCGAAGAAGAATAAATGACATGTCTGCTGATATTCTTGATCAGGTAATCCAGGAAATTAAATCCGCTCCACTTCCAATATTTAGTCTCCAGCTTGATGAATCCACAGACGTCGCAAACTGTTCACAGTTGCTGGTTTATGTGAGGTATATTAATGATGGCGACTTTAAAGATGAGTTTCTTTTCTGCAAACCTCTTGAAACGACAACTACTGCACACGATGTATTTGATGCAGTCGGCTCATTTCTGAAAGAGCAGAAGATCTCTTGGGAAAGCGTTTGTGGTGTTTGCACAGATGGCGCTCCAGCTATGCTAGGATGTCAGTCAGGATTTCAACGTTTGGTGCTAAATGAGTCACCAAGACTGATCGGGACTCACTGTATGATTCATCTGCAAACATTAGCAATGAAGACATTGCCGCCAGAGTTACAAGAAGTAATGAAAAGTGTCATAAGTTCTGTCAATTTTGTAAAGGCGAGCTCTTTAAACAGTCGACTGCTTTTGCAACTGTGCAGCGATTTGGATGCTCCGAACAAAGCCCTGCTGTTTCATACCGAAGGACGATGGTTGTCAAGGGGGAAAGTTCTGAAACATATTTTTGAGCTTCGTGATGAACTCAGAATGTTTTTTAATCAGAAAGCAAGACCGCAGTTCGAAGCACTTTTCAGTGATAAAAGTGAATTGCAGAAAATAGCTTACTTGGTTGACATCTTTGCCATCTTGAATGAGTTAAATCAGTCGCTGCAAGGACCAAACGCAACATGCCTCGATTTGTCTGAAAAGATCCAGTCATTCCAAATGAAACTTCAGCTTTGGCAAAAAAAGTTGGATGAAAATAAAATTTACATGTTGCCTACCTTATCCGCCTTCTTTGAGGAACATGACATCGAAGCACATGAAAGAATTACAATGATAATTTCTGTGAAAGAACACTTGCACGTGCTTGCAGGTGAAATTTCATGGTACTTTCCTGATCTACCAGATGTCCCATTTGCACTTGCCAGAAGCCCATTTACAGTCAACGTTGACGATGTTCCTGAGATGGCGCAAGGGGAGTTCACCGAGCTCATGAACAGTGATGCAGCGAGGACTGATTTCTCCACGATGCCAGTCACAAACTTCTGGATCAAGTGTTTGCAGCCATACCCTGTTCTGGCCGAGACCGTGCTGCGCCTCCTCCTTCCGTTTCCAACAACGTATCTCTGTGAAGCAGGGTTCTCCAGCTTGCTGGTTATCAAGTCTAAATACAGAAGCAGACTCGCTGTGGAAAACGATCTTCGCTGTGCTCTTGCAAAGACTGCGCCGAGAATTCCCGATCTGGTGAGAAAGAAGCAGTCTCAACCTTCCCACTGACTTTTTATGCCTACTGTCCCGAAACGTAGCAGTGTAGTTTACTGTCCCTATGTTGACTGTTATCTGTGCCACACCGTGCTTCAAGACAGAATTTCATTTATTCATAAGTGAAAATAAATATTTCACAATATATAATTACATGTTGGTCTCGTGGTTAATCACTATGCCTGTTACGTTCAATTTATAAAAATGAAAATACATCCTGCACATCAGATATTTATACCGCAGTTCATAACAGTAACAAAATTACAGTGATGGAGTAGCAATGAGAAGGTATTTTAGGGCTAGGAGTCAACACGACATGAGGAACTTTATTAAAGGGCTGCAGCTTTAGGAAGGTTAAGAACCACTGCTCCATAATTCCAGTTCCAGGGGATCTGATACCCTCTTCTGGCCTCCCTCAGGGCCGGAATGCATGTAGTGCACATACTCACATGAAGGAACCAAATCTGAAAAACAACAAAACAACACCAACACCCTACAGACTCTCCTACAGGCGATCTGAGGAAGGCATTTTCTCAGTTGTGTTTCCTCCCAGCTAGTTCTCATTTGTGTTAGGCTGATAGACACTAGCCAATACAGTGTCTTAGCCTTGGTTCCTTTCTGCCCTGGGAGGACCTTTCCCATCCCATCAGGAAATGTAACCACTCTGTTGATTTAAGCAGCTAATTTTTTATTTATTGTATTCATTTATTTGGGCCAAGTGTGGTATTCTATACCTTTAATACCAGCCCTTGGGAGGCAGAGACAGGTGGGCGTCTGGGAGTTTGAGGCCAGCCAGTGCTACACAGAGAAACCCTGTCTTGAAACAAACAAACAAATCAAAAACCAAACCACCTCTAGTGACATACTGTAAGTACTACTCACAATAAATGAATAATTTGAATGTGAGAGCTGGAGTGTGTGTATTTGTGTGTGTGACTCTGAGGAAAACTATTAGGAGTTGAAAATCTCATTCAAATCAAACTACCACTCCCAATAAATAAATTTTGATTCGAGCATGTGTCTGTGTGACTGTCTCTTGCCACCTTATGCCATCTGGGGATGGAACACAGGCCGTCAGATCAGTGTAGTACTGGTTCTCTCCACTGAGCCATCTAACTAGCCCTTGAAGAGCTACTGTGTATGTGTGTTTGTGTGCTTCAGCAGTAAAAGCTCTTAACCACTGATCCATCATCCCAGACCTGTTTCTTTCAAGATACGTAGCCAAGGATGTCCTTAAACTCCTCATTCTCTTTCCCTCTGCTTCCTAAGTGCTGGGTGTCTTGTCACTGGGTTTTCTGAGACAATCTTCCTCTGAAGTCCTGGCTGTCACGGAAATCACTCTCTAGGCCAGTCTGGCCTCCACAGAGACCCACTGGCCTCTATCCTGAGTGCTGGGATTGCAAGTGTGCTCCACCACTGTCAGGCTCTTCCTTTAACTTCTTGTCCAGGTTTTCACTTTAGCTCCCAGCATTCTTGGGGTTTGATTATGTTTGTTGGAAGATTGTTTTTTGAGGCAAGGTCTCACATTGTAACCTAGGCTAGCCTCGAGTTTGAGGTAACCCTCCAGTGTCAGCCACTTGAGAGCTAGGATCGCCAGCTTGTAGCACTAACACCAAGTCTAATCAACACACCATTTATGTGTTTATTTGTTTTGAGACAGGGTCTTGTTATGTAGCCCTTGCTGGCATGGAGCTTGCTCTGTAAACAAAGCTGGCCTTGAATTCAGAGACCTTTCAGCCTTTGCTGTTTCCTAAATGCTAGGATTACAGTTGTACATCCATAAACCTGGCTTGTCTTCATTGGCCTGAGGACTAGCAGAGAGGTAGCGCTTAGAATGTTTGAGACCCTGGGATTCTTCCTCAACATGCTTTGTCAGTTAAGTTCAATACCCATGTTTCTTTAAGGATATTGTCTGCTGATGATTGCTTTTCTTTAAAATGGTTTATGTGTGTTGGGCGGCATTCAGATAGTTCATCAGGTAAAAGTCCGTGCTGCTGAGCCTGACAGTTTTGAGTTCAACCCACAGGATCCAGATCCTCTGCTACTGGAGTTATAGATGGTTGTGAGCTACCATGTGGATGTTGGGAATAGAACCCAGGTCCTCTACAAGAGCAGTCGGTGTAACCGCTAAGAACTCTATCCAGCCCCAAGATTTTAAGATGGTGCTAATTGAGGGTTAGTCAGTCTACTCGGCTCATGAAGCATGCCTTTGGGTGTATCTGTTAAGGGAGTTTCCAGGGACTATAGATTGGGGGGGGGGGGGCGGACAACCCACCGTGAATGAAGGCAGCACCATCCGGTGAGCTGGACTTGAATACAAATGGAGGGGGTGCAAAAAAAAAAGCAAGACGCTAGAATTCCCCTTTCTCTGCTTCCTAATTGATGAATACAGATATAAGCAGCCTCGTGAGTCTGCCTTACCGTGCCTTCCCAGCTGATTGACTGTATGCATTCTCAAAACCTAAGCCATTTAAAACGCACCCTTTCCTAAACCGATTCTCGCCAAGCATTTCGTTGCAGCAATGAAAAAAAAAGTAATGTCGAGAAGAAAATAATCTTGTCACACAACGAAACACACGAACAAAGGGCAGGTCATTCAGCAAGCCAATTTTCTTTTGCAAAAATGAACCCAAGCTGGGCTAGCAAATAGATTCGGCCAAACCGGCCCCCATCTCTCATCCCTCCGCTGGGAATTCAGGTGTGCACAACCACAGCTGACTTACACAGTGCCAGGGTTGGAATCCAGACCTTTGTGCGTTCTAGCGCTCTACCCACTGAGCCACATTAGCCTGTTCCGTCCCTTCATGTTTTTCACCGACGGAACCAGAAGGTTTATACCCGTTATCAATGCGGGCCTCATAATTTCCAATCTGGAACAAAGAAGCCTGGCCTGGCCTCACCCCTCTGTGAGGTCACAGAGTAGAAGCCACGCCTCTCTATGAGGTCACAGAGGGTTCGCCCCTACAGCGGAACCAATAGGAGCATTGGACGTGGCCTTTCGGCCGGAGTATCCTGCGGCGGCGGCCGCGGAGCGCACCGGCGATGGACCCGCCTGCCGCTCCTGTCTCCCGCCGGCGGGCTCGAGCCCGCCAGCCACCGCCGCCGCCGCGGGAGGCGCTGCCCACTGCAGGCTTGGAAGAGGAGCTGTACGACTGCATGGACTACAACTACCTGCGTGACTTCCCGGCCTCCGGGGCTGGCCGCAGCAAGGGCCGGACGCGGCGCGAGCAGCAGCTACGCACCAACTACACGGTGCCCGGCGGCCACGAGCGCAAGGTGGCGCAGATACTGATGAATGGGCAGCGGAAGCGGCGCCAGCGCCAGCTGCAACCGCGCCCGCGCACGCGCCTCGCCTGAGCTGGTATGGGCCGGCAGAGGTCTTTGGTGGGGGATACGAAGTAGGGTGTTAAACTTCCCGTGTAGAGGAGGGTTACCTTGAACTCCAGATCGTCCTGCCTCCAGCTTCCAAGGCCTGGGATGATAAGGCATGCGCCACAATGCCCAGTCCTTCCTTCCTTCCTTCCTTCCTTCCTTCCTTCCTTCCTTCCTTCCTTCCTTCCTTCCTTCCCTCCTCCCTCCCTCCCTTCCTCCTTTCCTCCCTCCCTTCCTCCTTTCCTCCCTCCCTTCCTTCCCTCCTCCCTCCCTTCCTCCCTCCCTCCCTTCCTCCCTTCCTCCTTTTCTCCCTCCCTCCCTCCCTCTTCCATTTTTTGACATGATCTCATGTAGCTGAAATTGGGCCTAAAAATCCTCATCACTCAGCGTTCACCTCCAGATGCTAAAGTTTCAAGCACGGGCCATGATCCACTGCTGCTGTTTTACGTTGTATTGATGATGCCCAGTGTGGCCCAGGATACCATGGCATGGTATCTGTGGCAATCCTCAACCTCTCTAGCCTTGAGATTACAGGTCTGTGCCACCATGCTCAGCCGCACCCCTCAACCCTTTCTGAGACTTTCCAGCATAAGTCATAACTCCCCCAACACTTACACACCCCACAGGGGTTTCCTGGCTGCTAGTGAAAGTCTACCCTTCGGAGGTTTGCGATTGGGTGAGAAAGGTCTAGGTGGGAAATGCAGGAAAATGTCTCACCAGATAACCCTAGGAGGGCGACTCACACCTATAATTTGAGTGCTTAGGAGACTTTTGAATTTGAGTTTGAGGCCAACCGGGATACAGCATGAGGTGACACCTGCCTTCTGTTGCCGTGGTAAACACCCTAACCACAAGCAGCTTAGGCAGGAAAGGGTTTATTCCTTCGGAAAGCTTAAAGTCTGTCGGGAAAGGCAGTCAGGGCAGGAACCCGGAGGCGGGAACTGAAGGCCCGTCCACAGAGGCTCAGGTTCGAGCAGTTTCTGCTTTCTTTTTACTTTAACGGGCATTGGTGTTTTGCCTGCCTGTGTGTCTGTGTGAGGGTGTTGGAGTATCCTGGAGTTACAGACAGTTGTGAGCTGCCATGTGGGTGCTGGGAGTTGAACTCAGGTCCTCTGGAAGTGAGGTCAGTGCCTCCCCTCCCACCCACCCACCCACCCCCAGATAGGGTTTCTGGAATTTTGTAGAGTAGAATAGCCAGGAACTCACAGAGGTCTGCCTGCCTCTGCCTCCCAAGTGTTGGATTAAAGGCTGTGCCACCATACTTGGCTCACTTACTTTTCTTACACCTCCCAGGACCACCTGCCCAGGGCAATATTGCCCACAGTGGGCTGGGCTCGCTCACCCCAGTCATTGAACAAAAATGCCCGTACAGACTTGTCTACAGGCCAGTCTGATACCTCTCTCAGATAGAGGCATCTTCCCAGATGGCCCTAGTTGGCATCAAGTTGACAGAAACAACAAAAAACCCAACAGACAAAAACTGGGTATGATGGTGCATACCTGTATGCCTCTTTGCACTAGGAAAGTGAAAAGGGAGGTCAGAAGTTCAAGGCCAGAGGCCGGAATGATGGCTGAGCAGTTAAGAGCACTTGCTGCTCTTGCAGAGACCAACCCCTACCTCAGGTGCCTCATATCCATCTGTAGATTAAGTTCAAGGGGATCCAACACCATCTTCTGGCCTCCAAGGATACTGCCTGCGCATCGTACATATTTGGGTATGTATGCACAACAGACATATTCGGGCAAACACTGTTACACATAAAAATGAAAAGGACATTAAAAAGTTCAAGATCATTGACTACTTAGTGTGAGGCCAGCCTGAGCTGGATGAGACAGAAAGGGGGAGGCTGAGAACAGAGCTCCGTGGTTAGTGTTTCCTTAGAACGCACCAGGCTCTGGGGTCAATCAGCAGCACTACACAAATGGGACCCACACCAGTAATCTTAGCATTCTGGAGATAGAGGCAAGAGAATCAAAAGTTGCGGTTATCCTTGGGCACATAGTTGGAGTCCAGCCTGGGTTACCTGAGACTCTATCTAAAAATAAATAAATAAATAACAAAACAACCCACTAGGGCCTTTGGCCTCTCATCCTTGCGTGCAGGAACCTGAGGCAGGAGGATCGTGAGTTGGGAGTCCAGCCTGGGTATCATTGTGAGTTTAGGATCTCCATGGGCTAGAGTGACACCTCATCTCAAAATAGAAAAAAACTAAGAACTTCCAGTACTCTTTGTAAGACCTGGGAGAATAATTGGTTTTCATTTCTGTCTTATTTTCCACAGGAAACCTGTGAGAGACCTGTTAAAAGTATTTTCCAACTGTGAGGTTCTCCAAGTTGGTCAGCAGGACTTTTTGACAGTGTTTTAAGTTTACTGCTCCAATCTTTTTCTCACTAATTAATTTTTAAGTAAGTAGTTTCCAAGTTGGTATGCCTTCTTAGCGTTTTCAATTAAAAGAGAACAGCAAGAATGCATTTTAACTCTTCTGGGTTTTCCTCCAGCCCCACTCCTCCTCCCCGCCCATTATCGTGGTGGTAACTGGCTTCCAGTTCACAGGAAATTGGGCTCTGAAGTATAAAGAAGAGATCAAGAGACCAGGGATGCAATTTGTTTGCTAAAGTGATAGTGAGAGAAGCCTGAGGACCCAAGTTTGATTTCTGAAAGCCATGTTTTTTTAAGAGCTGGGCGTGGTGGCCCATACTTAAAATCCCAGCATTTGGGAGGTAGAGACAGATTCCTGGGACTCACTGGCCAGCCAGCTTTAGATGTTCCTGGCTAGTGAGAAACACTGCCTTCAAAAAAAAAGAAAAAAAATGTGTCCTAAAGATGCTTATAAACACGCAGGCACACACACACACACACACACGCACACACACGCACAAACACACACAGTGAATTGGGGAAATGTGGCTCTTCCTCGTTTCTAGGGTCCTTGGTCCACCAGTCCTGAAGAACAAGGGAGCAGAAGTGACGAACGGGGGTGGCCCGTGGGCACAAATGGAAATGTCCTTCCAGGACCAGCTTTGGGGAGGCAGCTCCATTTTACTCAGGGTGAAGGAGGGTGTCTTTAATAATCTCAAATCTCAGCCCTCTGGAGGCAGAGGCAAGCAGATTTCTATGGGTTCAAGGCTAGTCTACATATACGTGAGTTCCAGGCCAGCCAAGGCAGCACAGAGAAACCCTCAAACATGAAAGAAAGGTAGCTGAAGTGACATACAGCAAGCACCGTTCCTCTGTGGCTTCTGCATCGCGCTCCTCCCGGAGTTCCTGCCCCGGCTTCCCTCAGTGATAGACTGTGGCTTGTAAGTGTAAGTCAAATAAACCCTTTCCTTCTCTACATTGCTTTTTGTCAGGTTATTTCACAACAGAAAGGAAACTAGAACAAACACAGTGTGAGTAGCATGCAGAGAGCTCACAGAAGTCAACCAGATGATCTGCTCCTAGCAACTTTGCCTCTGTTAGTGCAGCAGTAAAGGTTTTTATACTCACTTATCCTTAAGATTTCTCCTGGGGATATGATAAAAATTAGGCTAAAGCCAGTCCATATCTTAACAGCCTTTTTTGTTTTTGTTTTTAAAACAAGGCCTCCCTGTGTAGTTCGGCTTAGCCTCAAACTCACAGAGATCCACCCGTCTCTACTAAATTATTGGAATAAAAGACATTCGCCAGCAGCGTGGTATTAACAGTATTTCTGAGGGCTGGAGAGATGGCTCAGAGGTTAAGAGCACTGGCTGCTCTTCCAAAGGTACTGAGTTCAATTCCCAGCAACCACATGGTGGCTCATAACCATTTATAGTGAGATCTGGCACCCTCTTCTGGCCTGCAGGCACACATGTGGACAGAATACTGCATAAGTAATAACTAAATAAAACATATTAAGTTTGTAAACATGAACTGAGTTTACTTTCATCAGAAAACTTACAGAACAAAAACCTATTTTTGAAAATGAAAATGTTTAACAGAGGCTCTTTCTCCTCATGCTAACTGATGAATGGTATGGCTCTTAAAAAAAAAAATTCTTTTCCCAAGACTGGTTTTCTTGTGTAAACCTGACTGTCCTGGAACGCTGTAGACTGGGCTGTCCTGGATCTCACAGAGGTCTGCCTGCCTCTGCCTCCCAAGTACTGGGATTAAAAGTGTGCACCACACTGCCTGTCTTCCCAGCCTTTCTGGTTTTTTGTTTTTGTTTTTGTTTTGATTTTATTATTATTATTTTTAATGTATGGTGCTCTGTCTCCATGCACACCTGCATGCCAGAAAAGGGCATCAGATCCCTTGATGGTTGTGAGCGGCATGTGGTTTCTGGGAATTGAACTCAGGACATCTGGAAGATCAGCCAGTGCTCTTAACCAATGAGCCATCTCACCAGCACCCCCCTCACTCCCCTGCACCCACCCCAGGTCAACTCTTTTCTAAGGCTTATTTTATTTTACCTGTCTGAGCATCATTTCTCAACCTGTAGTTCTGTTAAAAGCATACCACAGAAACTGATGTTATAACTCAGTTGGTACAAGTGCCATTTAGCTATTTTTATTTATTTGGTTTTTTGAGACAGGGTTTCTCTGTAGCCTTGGCTGTCCTGGAACTCACTCTGTAGACCACTCTGGCTTCAGACTCAGAGATCCGCCCGCCTCTGCTTCCACCACTGACTGGCTGGTGCAAGTGCTATTTAATATGTGCTTAGTGCTTGATGTACACTCCCCAACACCACAGAACCAAAACCAAGGGGAGCACTTCCTTCCAGTTAGCACTAAGTCATGGACCCTTGGGGATCTTTGTAACTGCTCTTCTCTCCTGAAATGCCTACATCCTTAGAGACATGGCACCCACCTAAGAGGGTGGTGGTTACGACCCACAGGGTAAGAACCACTCCTCATACAGAGTCTGAGCTGGGTGTGGCACACGTCTGTAATCCCAGCACTCAGGAGGCAGGGGCAGGCAGATCTCTGTGAGTTTGAGGCCAGCCTGGTCTACAAAGCGAGTCCAGGACAGCCAAGGCTACACAGAGAAACCCTGTCTCAAAAAACAAAAAAGCTAGGAAGCCAGGCAGTAATGGTACATACCTTTAACCCCAGCACTCAGGAGGCAGAGGCAGGCAGACTTTGGTGAGTCTGAGGCCAGCCCTGACTACAGAGTGAGTTCCAAGACAGCCAGGGCTACACAGAGAAACCATGTCTCCAAAAATAAAACAGCACTAGAAGTTATCTGTTGGGCTGGAGCGATGGGCTCAGAGGTTAAGAGCACTCTCTGTTCCTTTGAAGGTCCTCAGTTCCTTTCCCAGCAACCACATGGTGGCTCACAACCATATATAGTGAGATCTGGTATGCAGGCAGAATGCTGTATAAATAATAAATCTTTTTTAAAAAATTATCTGTCTGTGCATGTGCATTGATGCAAATGTGTAGGAAGTGCTTGTGGGAGTCAGGGGGCCGATTTTAGGAGTGAGTCCTCTTTCGATGACAGGGGTTCTATGGATTGACCCTGTCAGGCTCACTCCCAACCTCCACCTCAGGCACCTCAGTCATCGCCACCTGATTTACCGTAACATTTATCTCCCCCTGCAAAGCTGTTTCCCCTGAACTAAAACATCCCCTCCTGCAGGAAAGAGGGAAGTTCACAAGGCTCATGAAACGCACATGCCCTCAAGGGAGCAACAGTCAAGGCAGTTCACTAAACTCGCAAGTCCCTCCCTGAGGTTAACGATCTTGTCCCCTTGCCAGTGCTCGGAGGTGGCAGGAAGATCAGGTACCCGTGGCTGTGCTTGGTTACATGGCAGTTTGAGCCAGGACAAATGGGACCCCGTGTGGGAGGGTCAACACGTGGGGCTTGAGAAACATCATGGCGGAGGTCTTGGGTAGTGGGGCTGCCTGGAGTTGCTCAGGGAACCCCAGGGATGCCGCTTTCCTAAACCACCCTTCACCTTGCAGTGGTGTTTCAGTGACACCATTTGTGAGTCCCCCCTGGGTCTCATTGGTGCTCCTACAGGTGATTCCGATAAACATATCTGTTCACCAAGCTGCTGTCATTAGTCTCTGTCCTGGGGTATATAAACTTCCTGGGGGAAAGAAGTCACACAACGCCCCACCTTGAATTTTACACTTTATGGGAATAACCTGGCTTCATTTGCCTGCTATATCCCCAGACTTTACAGCTGCCATCCTGTCAGTTTTTGTCATTGTTGAGACAGGGCCTGACCATGTAGCCTTGGCCGGCCTTGAACAGTAGTGGACTGTTAATCTGCCTTTCAAGTACTAGGATTTGCATGTGTGCACCACAGACACGCCTTCTAAAATTATCAATGGGCAGTGGCCTAGATCGAAACAAATCCTACATTGAAGAAGGAGGTAAAATGAGTAGTAATAAATGTAAGGAATTGCCCCCCCCCCCTTTCTCTGTGTAGCCTTGGCTGTCCTGGACTCTCTTTGTAGACAAGGCTGGCCTCAAACATCAATCGCCCGCCTCTGCCTCCCAAGTGCTGGAATTACAGCTGTGTGCCACCAGACCCTGGTGTAAGGAATTGTCATTAACTTTAAAACTGCATTCGCAGACAGGAGAAATACATAGATAACTCTAAACTTAGGCTTAAAACTGTCTTGTGTGGATTTATTTTTCAACATATTAAAAAATGCCTTGGGGGGGGTTGGGTCATGCTGGAGAGAATGCTCAGAAGATCACTGGCTGCTCTTCCAGAGGTCCTGAGTTCAATTCCCAGCAACCACGTGGTTGCTCACAACCATCTATAGTGAGATCTGCTGCCCTCTTCTGGTGTGCAGGCACACATGCAGGCAGAATGCTATATAAATAATAAATAAATCTTTAAAAAAAGAGCACTGGCTGCTCTTCCAAAGGTCCTGAGTTCAATTCCTAAAAAACCATATGGTGGCTACAAAACCATCTATAGTGAGATCTGGTTCGCTCTTCTGATGTGCAGGTGTACATGCAGGCAGAACATTGTATACATAATATCTTTAAAAAAAAGCTTTGAGTGAACGGGATGTGATGGTGCACACATGTAACCCCAGCACTCCCAGCATTCAGGGAGGCAGAGGCAGGCGATTTCTGTGAGTTCAAGGCCAGCCTGGTCTACAAAGTGAGTCCAGAATAGTCAGGACTACACTGAGAAACCCTGTCTCAAAAAACAAAAACAAAGCTCTGAGTGGAAACTAAAATGCCTGCCCTGCAAGCCTGATAACTAGGGCTTTGATCCCCAGCATCCATGTAAGTGCCTGGTGGCAACATGGGCCTTCCCATGCCCCAGTGCATGGGAGACAGCTACAAGGGGACCCCCTGAACAAGCTGGCTAGTAGTGGAATCAGTGAGCCCTGGATTCGGGTGAGAGACCCTACCCCGAAGGTGTCACTTAAGGTGTCACTTAAATGAGGACGACACCTGACCAGTCTCTGCTCTCCACAGGCTCCACGTGTTTCCCACACTTCAGCAAGCACGTGTAAACATCACATCAGGAAGAATCGAAATAAAAATAATCTTGGGAGTTGGGGCTCCATGGCAGTTGGAGTGCTCCATGGCAGAGCACCCGCCTAGCATTTGTGGAGCTCTAGGTTCAAGCTCTAGAACTGCCGGCAAAATCTATCACAGCTATCCGATTTGGCCAGTGTGATGGTGCGTGTCAGTAGTCCTAGTGCTACAAAATACACCTTCAGCCTGTGTGGTGACTCCTTTGATTTTGAGACCAACCCGGTTTACAAAAGTTCTGGGACAGCCAAGGTTACACAGGCTATTCTGCCTCCAAAATCCATCCATCTATCTGTCTACATCTCATATACATACATATATATATATATATATACCTTTCTAGTGAGAAACCACTCAGCATACTTTGAGATTAATTAAAATTTTTTTTAAATTTAATAATAGCACTCATTTACCTCTGCTAGTGCTTATAGAGGGGCATTGAATAGAAGGTTTCTATAACCTTCTATATGTTATAGACATATAGAAGGTTTCTATAACATACACATCTTAGGCTTGTGCATTTCATATATGTTGTCGTCCTCACTTTGTAGACCAGGCTGGGTTTGAACCCACTGAGTTCCGCCTGCCTGTGCTGCCCACATATGGGTACCAAAGGTGTGCGCCACCACATCCAGCTGTTGTCATTCTCAAATCTTTTTCAGGTCTTGGTCCTAGGTTACACGTTGAGAAATTTAAACGGAGATAAGAGACTGCAAATCTGGCCAGTTGGGCAGATGAGAGAGTCACACAGCAAAGAAATTGCCTGTCACCCAGGTTCACCTTGCCCGCCTGGCAGAATTATACTTTTCCTAATGAGAACACAGGGACTTAATGGTATACCAGGATTTAGTGGTAGTTGTGACTCTTGGCTCTCCCCCCCAAACACACTTTTTTCAATAATTTATTTGCCCTTTATATACATTGGTGTTTTGCCTGCATGCATTTCTGTGTGAGAATGTCAGATCCTCTGGAATGGGAGTTACAGACAGTTGTGTGTCCTGGGAGTTGAACCCGGGTCCTCTGAAAGAGCAGTCAATGCTCTTAACCACTGAGCCTTCTCCTCACCCCCCCCCCCCGAGCTGTCCTCTTAAGCTGCCCTTAAGATCAGTGGTTCTCAAACTTCCTAAAGACAGGGTTTCTCTGTGTAGCCTTGGCTGTCCTGGTCTCACTTTGTAGTCCAGGCTTGTCTTGAACTCACAAGAGGTCTTCCTGCCTCTGCCTCTTTAATACAGTTCCAGTATGCAGATATGTGGATATATCTGCGGGTAGGCAGGCCTGCCTAGACACAAGGAGCCGTGTCTCAGTTCCTCAGACCAATGGATTCGTGTTTCCTGATAGTCTCAGGTGAGTCCTGGAAAAATGTGGTTTTAACCACAAAGGGATCGTGACCTGCAGGTTGAGAACCACTACCCCCACACACAAACTAAAGGCTTTTAATAAGCCTTAAAAGAACAGTCTGAGAACAGAGAAACCCTGTCTCCAAAAACAGGACAAAACAAAGAATCTGGGAAATGCTATATAAAAGAAGAAAAATAAAATAAGTGGGGGAGGGGAAGACAGATGCATGAATAGGGTTATTGCAGTCTCAGTACTCAGCAGGTACCAGTGGGAGGCCCCAGAGTTCAAGGACATCCTCGGCCACATAGTAATCTGGTGGCTAGCCTGTGCTACAGGGGAGCCTGTTTAGAGGGAAAAGGGAGAGAAAAAGAATGCTGTTCAAAAGAATCACTGCCCAAACTGGACATGGTGGCTCATGTCTATCATCTCAGTACTTAAGAGGCCGAGTGAGGCAGGAGAATTGCTATAAGCTTCGGCCCAGCCTGGGCAACAGAATAAACAAAAAGACAAACAGTAGAGAGAGGAAGGAAGAAGGGAGGAGAGGAGGGAAGGAGGGAGAGAGGCAGGCTCTCTGGATCCCTAACTTTTGCTGGGAGCATGACAAAGTGTAGCCCTGGAGCCCTCACATCACAGGACACAGTCCAGGCACTGCCAACGCCTGCTTCCTGTCCCCTGGTGCATCACGCAAGTTTGCAGCTCCCGTCACTGGGACGTGTTCTACCCCAGCCTCCCTTCCAATGGTGAGTCAGCCTTCATCCTCCGTACATCTGACTGCCGATCCCATCAGGGAAGTTTCTGTTTGAGAAACAGCTGAGAGTAATCCAGCCTTGCCTTGACCAAACTCATATCCCAGGGCCCTGCTTCCAGGACGCATTCCTTTTTATTTGTTTTTTTTTTTTTTTTAAAGATTTTTTAAAGTTCATTTTATGTATATGAGTGTACTGTCTGCATGTACACCTGCAGGCCAGAAGAGGGCACCAGTGTCTTTATAGGTGGTTGTGAGCCACCATGTGGTGGCTGGGAATTGAACTCAGGGCCTCCGGAAGAGCAGCAGTGCTCTATAACGGCTAAGCCACCTCTCCAGCCCCACAGGGTGCATTCTAACAGTACTTGAATTGCCGTTACTCTCTCTGTTTAGTTCTCCCTGCAAACATTACTGAGCGCTTACTCTATAGCAGGATCCGATGTGCCACAAACCTGTAATGTCGGCGCTCAGCAGGTGGAAGCAGGGTCTCACTGTGTAGCCCAGGCTGTCCTGCAGCTCCTGATCCTCCTGTCTCAGTCTCCCAAGTGCTGGGGTTGCAGAAGTACACAACCAAACCAGGTACAAATGCTTGTTTTTTATTCAAAGAACAAGCATTTTTCTATGGCTGCACAGTAGAACACACTATGACAAAGGCAAGAGAGTTTTCATTTTCCTTTTGTTTAAAAGTTATGTTGGAAGCCTGTAATCGCAGCATGTGGGAAGGCAGAGGCAGGCAGATCTCTGTGAGTTTGAGGCCAGCCTGGTCTACAGCGAGAGTCCCAGGACAGCCAGAGCTGTTACACAGATAAACCCT